TATCGCTGATCAAATTTTCAGGAGTTTCGTCCGGTATGTTATATAATTGAGTGCCCAAAGTCCTATTTTCCCTTGGTTGCACTCAAATAATGTATATCGTCGGATAACTTACGGTTCAAATGTTTTGCTCAAAAAATCCTGTGCCTCTGTGGAAATAGCATCCGGAATTTTAGGCGTACAAGATTGTAATCCAATCTATATTTGCATAAATCAATTAAAAAGGACTTGTTTAAAATTTAAAATAATGTTAAATTCATTATACCTTAAACATTGCTTGTGTCTGGTTGAACTCTGGAAAAGGATGATCTCCGGTGAACATCTCAACGATCAGACATCCTAAACTCCATATATCAGCTTTACTTGTATAAGGTGTTTGTTTTACAACTTCTGGTGCCATCCAAAACACTGAGCCTTGTAATGACGGCCGTTGTGCTGAAGTTGCTGCCATAAACTCTGTTGCGTGATATTGTGAATGAATAAGAATTATATGACAATAAGTTAAAAATAAATAAATAAATAAATAACATACGATCAACTTTTTTTGATAACCCAAAATCTGATATTTTGATTATTCCTTTATTATCCACTTTTATTAAATTCATATAAATTAAAGTTAATAATTTTTATAATATAAAAAAATTATTAAGGCAAAGCAAAAAATTTACCCAAAATGTTGGCGCCTTTAATATCTCTATGTATAATGTCTTTTTCATGCAAATAATTCAATCCTTGTAAAATTTGTCTAACATACGATCGAATCAAATTTTCTTCTAATGGACCAAAGAGATTAAGCATTGAAGCTACTGATCCACCAGGCACATATTCCAAGAAAATATTAAATGTTCCCGTTCCCTCATCAAGCTGTGAACCTATGAAATGTATAAAAAAAAATATATATATATTGTGTCACCATTTCTGCAAATAGAAACGGATTAAAATAAAAGACTTAACTCTTACCAAGATATTGCACAATATTTTCATGATGCAATTCTTCTAAGAGCGCAATTTCTCTTTGTAGAGCATCCAACTATGTAAAAATAATAAATAAATAACTAAGCATAAACAACTCGTTATTAAATAAAGTCAACTATTATACTAACCATAGATTTTTTACGTTCATTATTTGAAGAATTTGCGGTAGGTAATTCCACTTGCTTAACTGCCATGAATTCTCCGGTAAAAGCATTAAGTCCAAGATATACACTACCAAAAGAACCCATGCCTATAAGGTTACCTTTTATCCATTTAAGATTTGAATTCTCTTCGACTACAAAAATCATAAATTGCAAAATTGTTTGTGATTAATAGGATTAATAGATGTAATGAAATGAATAATACGTCATTCACTTACCATCTTCTGGATCAGACATCGTATACTCTTCGTCCTCATAATCAAAATCATGAAAGTCAACTTCTTCCTCTTCTTCTTCTTGAATGGCTGTGCTAGAATTCACTGAAGGTGCCAATATTGTACTCG